GACCTAAACTCTACTTAGACATAACAAATCGGCGGATCCACCCATGAGAAAAGCTGGGGAGGGGGGCTGACATAAGGGCGCATAGAAAGAGAACTAAGCAGAAGTTTTCTACATGGTCAAAGAAGAGCTTAAAAGCTGCAACTCCAGGTCTGTGGAACCTGTTGATGATGACGTTCCTTAGAAAAAGCCTGGCCCATCGCCATACTCTAGCCCTAAATAAACAACTGAACTAAAATATGGTAATTAATATATAGATACGTACCAATACTCTCACGGCCAAAACAGCCTTGTCCAAAGGCTGGATTAACGCTCGTCAAGCTATCCAAACTCTGGGTCTAGGGGAGAGAAACTCTGCATCTGCTTCAGTCACGTTTAGGGATTTATCATGACAATTGCGTATCTGATGGTATGGCTCACCGCATTTAAGAAAGAGCCTCTTGGCCGTGAGATCCAAGTACTCAGCATTGGATAGGTTATGGCTATTGTGCTTTGGATTATCCAACCCCAAAGAGGCCGTGGAGCCGGGATTTGCAGCATGGGCCGAGCATGGCTGATACATGCTGCATTGGTGTCGAGAATGGCGGAGCAGTGAGTGGTCGGCTATGGCTGGTTGGCAAAGGCTGTATTATTTTTTTCTCAATGGCTTAAGAGACCTAAACCCTATTGCTTGAATAAAACAAATTAGGGCTCCTAAGCAAAAGTTCGTCCCATCACCTTATTCTAGCACTAAATAAATAATTTAAATTCAATTATGGTAACTTAAATACATATACGTAACAGACGCCATCTTCAATATATTTTCTGTTCCTAAAGTTTGGTTTTTTTGAAAAATCCTTGTTTGGTGCAAAGGCAAAATGTAGGTTGGAACATGCTATCAAGCCCTAGGACAACTGGTGTGGAGTCGGATTTTTTATATAGAGAAAGATAGGGAAACAAAATATTATGGACACCTGGTGCTAAGTGGTTATGTAATCATATCAATGAATTGGGAAAATGATCCAAACATATAAGTGGACCATTCCGTTGACCTTGATTTTGATTAGTGTGGAACTCTTTCATGTTCTTCAGTCTACAATTGTTGAGCTTGCTTCAATATTGGAGAAGAAAACTGTCTCATCGTTTTTCAAGAAAACCATGCAGAAGCTTCTTACAGTTACTCAGGACGTGGGCATATTAAGGAACAACAAAGATTCAAATGCCATGCAGGTTGACGATTCATCTGGTGCAGCTTCCCTATCAACAGCAAGGTGAGATACGTGGTTACTACCTAGTTAATGTAACTATTTTCATTTAATTTTTTTCAGCTTGTATGCATAGACTGTCCCTAAGAAATTGGAATTTTCCTACTCTGAGGGTTTTTATGTACCTCTTTCTTGTTTACAGGGCACAATTATTTGACATTGCTGTTTCCCTTTTACCTGGGTTGGGTTCCAAGGAAATTGATCTTTTGTTCACTGCTGTAACACCTGCATTGAAGGTTCATATACATACATATATACATATATACATACATATATATTTCTTTGCCAGTTACTTCATTCTTAGTTTTATAAGAGAAGATAAGCTCATCTGGTGGATGTAGAAGCTTTCAACCAAAGGCATGAAGTATATATTTCTTTTGGTCTTACAGGACGTTGATGGTTTGATTCAGAAGAAGGCGTACAGAGCTCTATCATTGATACTGCAGGTGCTCTATTTTCCATTAATAATAAAAAATTAAGACTTAACGCTTCAAGTTTTTAGAATTAAAATGTCTTCTGATGATTATTTGAACTTATGGTTGATATCAGTGCATGCGCCAGTTTCAATCTTCAAGATGTAGCTCTCTCTCTCTCATTTTTCTCTTTCCTTTTTTATATGTTTTAGCGAATTGCTTTCTTACATTTAACGATTAGTAGATGGAAAGATCATTAAAGGTACTCTGGTTCACTCAGGGAGAAAAGGGTAACATCTCTAAGATCTCCAGATTCTTGGGATGATTTAATTGAATATTTTCTGTTGATAATAGAAAATATTATCGCTGAAATCATGCCCAAGGTTTTGAAAAAAGAAAAGGAGCAGTTGAGAAGCCTTTGTCTTTAATAGTTAATTTCATATTACCTAAGAAAGCACCCGTGGCTTTTGTTTTGACTGTATAGAATTTGAAGAAACAATTAATATGCATAATCAAGGAAGTATTATTTTATTCCAAACATTTGCACATAATGCAAGCAAATAATGTACTGGATTCTCAAACATGTTGTTGTTGTCATCACAAAGATTGAAGTAATGAGCTACATCTAAATATACTTTTCTTTGTGTGTGTCTGGGTATGTTACAATTTCATATGTAATGCTTGTATTTTATTAACTATTACTATTACCAGAATACTGCTAGCAGTATGAAATATACCCACCCTCAATGAGGGGCAGCAAAAGACATACTATTATTAAATCTTTTCCCATTTGTGCTGACGACCTTAATGAAATTTATGGACAGACCTCGGATGACTTTATTTCAAGGAAACTCGAGGTGGTTCTCAGCCTGATGATTGAAGTACTGCCTTCTTGTCATTTTTCTGCCAAACGTCAGAGGCTGGACTGTTTATATTTCCTCATCATCCATGCTATTAAGGTACATATCATCACATTAATATTCTGCAAGTGAGTTTTCTCTGTAAAATTCCACACTTTGAGTGGATCCTTAGTTTAGTTAAATATGCCTGCAGGAAGGCTCTGAAAAGAGGAGGCATGACATCACTGCTTCTTTCCTTACGGAAATTATACTAGCACTAAAAGAGGTATCACCAGCCATCTCATGTTACCTTGCTTATTATTGACCATTTTTTATTTCGTTTCTAATTGCATACACCATTTGTTGTCTGTAGTGGTACTTTCTTACCCTTTTTTAGTGCAGAAGGGCTTTTACTTACTGTCTATTTGTTTGCTTGTTTCTTTCTTTTATCTGTCTTTGGTTTTGGTTAGGCTAACAAGAAAACAAGAAATAGGGCATATGATATTCTTGTCCAGATTGGTCATGCATGTGGAGATGAGGATCAAGATGGCGAGGAGAAATTGTGCCAATTCTTCAACATGGTACTTAATCTGGGGTTTGAGGAGATTTCTCAGATTTGTCATCGTGTTCTCTTAATTTATTTATTTTTATTAAATAAATGCAGGTTGCTGGAGGCCTGGCGGGTGAGACACCTCACATGATCAGTGCTGCTATGACCGGCTTAGCTCGATTGGCTTATGAGTTCTCAGACCTTGTTTCTGCTGCTTATAATGTTCTCCCATCCGCTTTTCTCCTTCTTCAAAGAAAAAACAAAGAAATAATTAAGGTGCCATTGAAATTGAAATCAGTATTGATTACTTATTCAGAATTTGCTGTCTGGTTTGACTCTTTTGTTTCTATATTGTTGCTTTCGGTGCAGGCTAATTTAGGTTTGCTGAAGGTACTGGTTACCAAGTCACAAGCTGAAGGCCTGAAGGCGCATTTGCGCGGCATGGTGGAAGGTTTGCTGAGCTGGCAAGATAGCACCAAGAACCATTTCAAAGCAAAAGTAAGTTTATCTAGCATTTCATTGTCGTGTAATTTTGATGGTGTTGGCTTAATTCTATGGAATGCTTATCTCATATGTGATTTAAATTAATGTAACAATGTTCCATTTGTGTTGTAGAGTTTTAATTTTCCATGTTCGCTTTCGTCATGCAGATTAAACTGCTGCTTGAGATGCTTGTGAAGAAATGTGGTCTGGATGCAGTTAAGGAAGTCATGCCTGAAGACCATATGAAACTCCTAACCAATATAAGAAAGGTTTCTACTGGTTCAGATCAGCAGAAGTTTTTCCTTTTCTTTTCCGAAGGTGCGCGTTTAATTTCTTGGTGTGTCTTTTGTTGTGTGTATGCAGCTCAAGAATCGGAAAGAGAAGAAACAGGCTGCCAAATCATTGGATGACAGGTCCATTCTATCAAAAGCAACTACATCCAGGTATTTCCTTTCCATGAGATAATCAAGAGCACTTTAATTAAAATCTGAATGTTGCCAGATATTTCCTTTATCAACTACAACAAAAATGAAAATGTTTGGAACTGTTGTCTTGGTCTTGGATTTTTTTCTCTTAATTTCCTTTACCCTTTTTTTTTTTAATTTTTTATTTACATCCAATGGTACATTAATTGCTATGGATCCTTAATGACACTTCCCATAAGCCATTGCATGGTTACAGTCCCTTTTCCTTCGCTTTTCCTTCGCTTTTCCTTCCTAGCCTGGATAAATTGTTTCTCTCGGAGTGTTTTTAAAAAACCGCAATAATGAATTAATGATGTGATTTTAGTTTATCCTTAGGGTGTGATTGTTTATCAACTCACCTAGAAAAAAACCAATCAAAACTCAAATTTAACTCAACTTTAACCCAACTCCACTTTCTCCAATATTATCAATATAATTAAATAATATCAACCAATCATTCTTACACATCACATCAACTTTAATTCACTATTCATCTTCTCACATAATTCTAACTAACCACCATTTCTAATCATTTTTCTCTTACTTTTACATCATATCAACTTTAATTATTTTATTTTAAATATTATTTAATATATCCACTAACAACTAACCATACCAACTTTTTTCAAAAGTAACTATAGTTAAAAAAAACCAATTAATTTCTAGATGAATTCATAAACAATCACCCCCTTAGCATTTTTGTATCAGCAGTCATGAACCACATGTGGTCGCTGTCCATTCTTTTCGCCGCGACTCTTCATCTTATTTGCATCTGCAACCTGTCAATCATCGTGGATGCTGTCGGCCTCTACGACTGCCTGCTATCCTCTTTTGCTATTTTGGCTGGAGTGTTCCTGCAACCCAATAAGAAACACTCCTCGACTCAGGCGCTAGCAATTTCTTCAACGTTCACTTTATTCTTGGGTTCCCTGAAGCATGCCGAGGCGAGGAGTCTAATCGTGAGCCTTCTAAGAAGGCAGAGGACGAAGGAGCAAGAAAGAAGGCCGTTGAGGAGGCGGTCCAAGAAGTGTTTGGAGAAGCCAGTTGATGATGCTCTGGGGGCGGCGCAAGGTGCATTCGAGGCCACGGGTGCTACTGAGCTTGCTGCAAATACCACTTGTGGCCTCGAATGCACCTTGCGCCGCCCCCAGAGCAATCATCAACTGGCTTCTCCAAACACTTCTTGGACCGCCTCCTCAACGGCCTTCTTTCTTGCTCCTTCGTCCTCTGCCTTCTTAGAATGCTCACGATTAGACTCCTCGGCATGCTTCAGGAAACCCAAGAATAAAGTGAACGTTGAAGAAATTGCTAGCGCCTGAGTCGAGGAGTGTTTCTTATTGAGTTGCAGAAACACTCCAGCGCCAAAAGAGGGTAACACGCAGTCGGCTACGACTGCATACACGATGATTGATAGGTTATAGATGCAAATAAGATGAAGTGTCGCGACGAAAAGAATGGACAACGACCACATGTCGTTCATGACTGCAGATACAAAAATGATGTGATTGACCGGTGAGTGAACTGCTAAGGGCTTGATTGTTTATGAAATAATTTGTTCAAAATGAGTTATTTTGATTAACCATAGTTAATTTTAGAAAAGGTAGTGTAGTTAGTTGTTAGTGGAATTTTAAGAATGTATTAAAATAATATTTAAAATAAAATGATTAAAATTAATTTGATGTAAAAGTAGGAGATAAATGATTGGAAATTATTGGAAATGATAGGTAGTTAAAATTATGTGAGTGAATGAATAGTGAATTAAAGTTGATGTGATGTGTAAGAATGTTTGGTTTGTATTATTTAATTATATAAATAATAATAAAGATAGTGGGGTTGAGTTAGATTTTGAGTATGAGATAAATGTGAGTAAATTAACTCATAAACAAGCATTCCCTAATTTGTTTTACAGGATAAGTAGATGGAACCACACCAAAATATTTTCCGAACTCGATGATAACGACTCAAACGACAGTGATGGTGATGGTGAATTTACAGACGGAAAAAGTATTGTTGGCCGGCGCAGCAAGTATTCTTCAGCTGTACAATCCAAATCATCTCTTTTACGGTCAGTCTGTAAATGATACTACTATTTGCAGCACAAGTCATGTAACTATATGTATCTTAACTAACACCATTCAGCAAAATACACAACTGCCAGATCCAAGAAAAGCCGAAAGGCAGCAAAGAGCTTGCAAGAAGATTCATTCGACCAATTAGATGACGAGCCTCTCGACTTGCTAGATACCCAGAGAACGAGGTCTGCCCTTCGCTCGTCACAACCACAAAGAATGAAAAACGATGAGTCGGATGACGAGCCCTTGATTGATCCTGATGGGCGTCTGGTTATTCAGGAGGAAGGTAAGAACAAAAAGGCCGATAGGAAAAAGAAGCGGGAATCTTTGGACGCTGAGGAAAATGATGGAAAAAGTGATGCAGGAAGTAACTTGTCTTCGAAATCTGTGAAAACCCAGAAAAGGAGAAAGACCTCGGAAAGTGGGTGGGCCTACACGGGTAAAGAGTATGCCAGCAAGAAGGCAGGTGGTGATGTGAAGAGGAAAGATAAGCTCGAGCCATATGCCTATTGGCCGCTCGACCGGAAAATGGTGAGTCGTAGGCCGGAGCACAGGGCTGCAGCCAGAAAAGGCATGGCGAGTGTGGTGAAGCTGACCAAGAGGCTTGAAGGGAGGAGTGTGTCCAGTGCGCTTTCTGTCAAGGGGGTGGCTTTGAAGAACAAAAGAAAAGGGAGTAAAAAGAAATTTTAATTTTTTTTTGTATGTTTTGTGGAAAATGTGTAATCAGAGCATTGCTTTTGATGTGGTCGAGTTTTTATGGTGGCATTTCGATTTACCATTTTTTTTCTTTGGTGGTGTTTATTTATAGCGCCACATGGTGCAAAGTACCCTTGTCTTGCGATTCCTGAGTGAACCGAGTTTTGCATGGAAATGTAAGAAGAACGTAGAGATTTTTTATTTTTTATTTTTGGTTTGCGGAGGATTTTGACTTGTTTTATAAATCTTTTCATTGAAAGTATGTGTTCTATTGATCTGCCATCAATTATTCATTATTCTTATTCAATTTGAATTTCAGTTTTGTACTATTATATTTCCTACATCTGCAATTTCGGCATATGTATTCTGGTCAGATGAATTGGGGTTTAGCATGTGAGAAAAATTGAGTATGTTTGATGTTTTTCCCTATGTGATGAATGTGAGATAGTTCCATTATTGATGAACATGAAAGCTGATGATGGTCATGATTTCCTATTCTGAATTGTCTGGTAGAAGTCTTTGGTTTGTTTAAACAACATTTAGGGGTGATTGTTTATCATCTCAACTAATTCAATCAAAACTCAAATTTAACTCTATTTTAATCCGACTCTACTATCTCCAATATTATCAATATCTATATATATATAGTTGCTAGCTTAGCAATAAATTTTACCTAATAAATAAAACCTAATAAATTTTACCTATGTGGCAAATCATTAAATAAAACCTAATAAATAGAACCTAATAAATTTTATTTATGTGGCATTAATGCACCCAATCTCATTAATAATAAAATATTTAATTACACTTTTTTGGATAAATTAAGACAAAAACCATTATACTTTATGTTAATTGAGTAATAATTATATTTTTTGTTGAATCATATAATAGTTAATATTAAAATTAGTAATTATATTTTATACTAAATAATATATGAAAGTTACATAAAATTATATTTTACAATAAAATCAATATTTATTAATATGATGAAGCGATTGTTTATTAATAAATTAATTTTTTTATGTCACAGTAAAATTTCTTAAATCACATAAACAATTGTTATAATAATGTAATATTTTTCAGTTAATTAATTGGTCATGATAACTCAAAATTATAAAAAGTATATATTTATTACATTTTATGCAATCAATATAGGGATTCATATGCAATCAAATCGTATGTACTATTCATTTTAACCAATAATCAAATTTTAAAATATAATACTATTATCTAATGTATTATTTTAATATTATATACATAAATATAACTTATAATACTATATGTTTGAAATATAATATTATTATTTAACTTATAATTTTTATATTATATGCATACAAATAACGTATAATATTTAATTTTATTTACATATGTGCAAATGCACAGGATCAATTACTAGTAATTAAATAATATCAACCAACCAATCATTCTTACACATCATATCAACTTTAATTCGTTATTCATCCACTCACATAATTTTAACTAACCATCACTTTCAATCATTTTTCTTCTACTTTTACATCATATCAACTTTAATTATTTTACTTTCAATATTATTTTAATATATCCACTAACAACTAACCATACCACCTTTTTTCAAAATTAACTATAGTTAAAAAAATCAATTAAAATCTAGTTGAATTTATAAACAATCACCTCCTTAGATTTACCATCCCTAATCTCAACCCTAAATTGATTCACACCGGCTCGTTATCACCAAACAAAACGTTGGACATTAGCCTCCAAACATTTTTAGGAGTTCCTTGAAATGGGTGCTAAACTTGGGCTAGTATTTTATCATTAAAGTTTAGTTTCATGCTGTGCAAATAGGCAAAAATGCATTTTCAGTGCTGCTAGTTTAATGTCATAGCAAATTTAGTCTAAAGGTTCCAACTTTTCGTCTTTTGGTCATATGATTTAATATTGTGCTGCTGCAATTTCAGTGCTTTTTGAGGACTGAAATTTCAACAAAATCTTAAATTACAGGACTTAAATTGCTAATACAAAATCTATAAATTTGGAAATTAGTTGCAATTTCAGTACTCAAAAGATTGAAATGGCAATAAAATATTAAATCACAGGACAAGAATGAGAAATGTTAGATTCTTGAGGCAAAAAATGCTATGACGTTAAACCAGCAGGATTAAAAATGCAAAATGCAATTTAGCGTGTGCAAATATTAAGAAAAACCATGTTCATTCATCAGGTATGGTGGCAAATGGATCTGCGGGCTTTGTGGAGAGGCCGTCAAGGATGAAATCTTGAGATCACAGAAGTTGATAAGCCCGGACGAAGCACTGGCCCGACACATTAGCTTCTGCGGCAAGTTCCGGGCCTCGAACTCGCCCGAGAACCCCACGGTGCATCTAATTCGGGCCATGAGGCAGGTTCTGAGGAAGAGGCTGTAAAGCCCGAAATCCATGAAGTCCATGCGAGTAGCCTGACTAGCAGAAGAGGACGCACTTTGAAGGATCAGGTGTTTGCCCGATCAGAGAGCATGCCGAGTTTCATCCTTGTTGACTCGCCGGTTTACTACCGGTTGGATGAAGGTTGTGAATGAGGGTGGAAGGTTAGAATGGTAAATTTAGGGGGGAATGACTTAAAAAATCAAGATAGATGGATGGATGAATGCATAACTTAATTTTTAATGTCATCAGTATATGTAATCCTCATGTTGTGGACTGAAGATTGAAATGTAACTTGAAGTTTCCCATGTTTAGTAACAGAAGTTCAAAATTTATTGAAATTGGGTGATGGAGATGTTTGTCTCATTTTTGTTGCGTTTTTCCTTGTTATTTTTCTTTTCTTTTCCCCCAAATTAGGTCTTTTAGTTAGTTTTTATCTCGTTTGTAGTTTATCGCGTGTTTTACTCTATCTTTGTTTTTCTTGTGTTTTCCGTATGTTTTTTCGGTTTTTCTTTGTTTATGGTGTGTAGGTCGAAAGCTTCAGGAAGATCGAATTTTTGGAAAAAGTCATTCGGGCAAGCATAAGTAGATAGAAGAGTTCGTCGGCGTCACACAGGAAAAAACAGAACTCAATTCCGAGTTCAGACGAATCCGAACGGGGCCGAAACGTAAAGTCCAGCAAGCGGCCGACCGTTTGAAGGTTGGAAAACTCTAGAGGATTATAATATTGGCAAAATCTGGTCATGAAAGCATCATTGAATAGATGGGTTCGTTAGCGACGCGTAGGAAAAAACAGAACTCAATTACGAGTTCGAATGAGCCCAAACGAGCCCAAAACGCAAAAGTCGCGCAGCCGAGCCAGCAGCCCCGCGTGCCGCGGCGCGGCAACCCTCAGCGGCGTGGCACTGCGTTCCTCCGCGCCGCGGAAACCCTCAGCGGCGCGGCATTGCCTTCCTCCGTGTCGCGGCAACCCTTCACGGGCCCTCAGAAGCTGCCCAGCACGCCCCCACGCCACGGCACTCCCCCGCGCCGTGGCAACTTGATACTCCACGCCGCGGGTGCCTCCACGGGCATTCAGAGACCGCACACTTGCCCGCTTCGCGCCGCGATGGTTCCTCCACGTCGCGACACATGCGCACCTCACGCCGCGTTGTATTTCCTCACGCCGTATCACCTGCTAGGCTATATATATGGGATATCTCCCCTCCTGGGAGTGAAACCCTAGGTCTGAGAAAAAACACGACAACACCTTTTCTCCTTCTTCTTCTTCTTCTTCTTCTTCTTCTTCTTCTTCTTCTTCTTCTTCTTTTTCTTCTTCTTTATTGTCCTCCTCTTTTTATCTTTCTCTTCCAATTTTCTTCTTGTTTTTAATAATTAGGGATTAAGCTTTGTAAGTGGATTCAACACGTGAATTTGGATTGATTGTAAGCATTTCTTTCTCTTGTTTAATTCATGAATAATGGTTGAATTGGGTGAAATGAATTATTGTGTTGAATTCAATTTGCGTAGCTAATTCCTATTGCTAGAGATAGGGGATAATTGTTCTTGTTTAAATTGTATTTGTCGGGCTTTGATTTGTTCATGCTTATGTGAGTTGATTTAGTTCGGAATTGATGAATTTGTGCCTGATAGTTTGATATAGTCGAAGGGTGACACTTCGATCTTGCAATCGGCAACGATTGGATATTGAATTGTTGAGTTAGGGTGTGTTGATTCTATATGATTAGTTGATTAAACATCTTCTAATTGAATTGGCGACTTTTAGAACCGAAAGGGGAGAAGTCGTAGACCTAGGCTTGCATGAGATAGATGATTTCGTAACTGAATAGTCTATAGGTTTTGGATTGAAATACGTGCTTGTCGATGACCCGTCCCTTGTTACTAAAATTTATTGGGATTGGGAAAATTGGCATGTGTTGTATACTCGAGCTTGTTCGTCTATGTTCAATCACTTGTTACGAAGAGTTATTGGGAGAGAACCGCTAGATGTTTAAACGAGAGTGTCAATCTGAAATAGAACGATTAATGTCCCGATTTTGCGAATAGAACTTGAATTAATTATCCCCGACTCCCTAGCTTCTTCATCTTTGTTAGTTTATATTTTAGGTAGATTATTTCTTTTTATTACTTCTTAGTTGATAATTATTCAAACCCCCGTATCTGATTAGAGTGTTTAGGACTTATTTTCTTTTCGTGTGTAATCGACACCAAAGCTAGATTCCGAACTGCATTCCTCGAGAGATCGACCCGGGAAACGAATCCTTGATTCGATACTCGGTAAAATATAACAATTTGTACACAACAAATTTGGCGTTGTTGCCGGGGAGGGCAAGTAGGATATTTAGTTTTGGTGTTAGATCATATTTTCTGTGTTTTTCTTTATTTTAGTATTTTTAGTGTTTTTGTTTCTTTTGTGCATATGTGTTTTTCTCTTTTGTTCTTGTTTTAGTTTTTGCCTTCTTTTCTCTTCTTTTTTTTTTCTTGGCTATGCGTGGTTGTTTGGTTCTGGTGTGCAGGTACAATGAATTTCAATCACGGGTACTCCTCCCTGCATTACCCATCTTGGAACGACGAGCCAGTCTATTTCCCCGGGTACCACACCCAACCTTACCCGTATTCTTCCGAGCAGTGCTGGAACAATCTTCCGATTGAGCAACCTTCTGAGTCCTATGCATTTAATGATAAGCTCAGCCAGATTATGGACTTCATAGACTGCAAATCAGCTCGAGAAGAGGAGACCGCATACAATGCCAAACTCGATCTCATCTTAGATCGATTGATGGCCCGAGCGAAACAAGAGGAGGAGATTGAGCTCAGATGTGCCTGATTGAGCGAGCAAGTGGAAAGTCTAGCAAGGTGCATCGACTCGATCGAGTCCCAGGCCCATAAGCTCGAGGTTGTGGACCCACATCCCATGCCCGAGCATCTAATGAGCTCCAGGACGACTCGTAAGAGTACAATGCCAAGCTCGACCTCATCCTCGATTGGATGATGGCCCGAGCAAACCAAGAAAAGGAGATTGATCTCGGATGTGCTCGGCTGAGCACACAAATAGAGAGCCTCACTGTACGTCTCGATTTGATTGAAGCACAAGTCGACAACCCACACCTCATGCTTGACCCTCAGGCTCGAATTCTGCAACAAATGTGTGAGGCCGAAGAGGATGACATTCTCCCACGAGCCGGGTACGATGCATTAGAGGAGGAGGTCGATTCAGAAGACCCTCCTCCCACCTTCGAGTTGGAGCATCCGCCTCCGAGGCCACTGCACTGCTTTCTGGAGGTGATGGTATTTTCTTCGATTTGCTCCATTGATGCGCCTTTGATTGCCGAGGTTGACGAGGGATCTCGGTTGGGGAAGGCTCTATTCCAAACATTGGGGATCGCTCGTGAACAGACTCACTACATCAAGAACATAGCCACTCGTGCCCACAGTGCCCGCCTTCTGGCCTTAGAGACAGCACTGCCACTTTTCGAGAATACAAAGGCGTGACACGATCATCACTTTTTCCTAGACCCTGGATGAGTCACCTCAGGTTTCGTCAAGCTAATGACGTAAAACAAGCGCTTCTTGGGAGGCAACCCAAGTGATATTTACCGCTTTGTTAGCTAATTTCGTTTATGCATTTTTAGTTTTTATTCTTGAATAATTGGAGCTTTGGGAGTTGTGTGGTTTTTGCTTGTCAGGACCTATCGAAGCTTGGAGCTTGGGCGAAAGGCATGCACTGGACGCTTAGTCTCCTTGACTCACCCCCGGTTTGCACACATTTTCTCTTTTTACATTTTTTTTGAGTGTGTTTCTTCCTTCTGTTTTTCCTTCTTAGTTTGTGTGCATGTGGTAGTTGCTAGTATTGGTTCGCTATATGAAAGTGCTAGGTCCTTTATTTGACTTTCTGTTTCGTGTTGAAGCAATCAGGGCATTGCCTCATTTTAAGTGTGGGGGAGTTTATTTGGATTTTCGCATGCTTATATGGTGAGCCGGACTAGTTTTAGGTTTTTGTGTTGTTGAGCATGGTATTGGTGGATTATATGATTTGTTGATGAATGTTTGATGAAATCGGGAAGTTGTGATGACGGACGTGTGGTCATTGCCTCGGTATATGCTTGATTGCTTTGAGTGACATATATTTGCCTTGTGAGGTTTTGATCCTTACTCTTCTTTCTTGTGAGATATTGGTCATATTCTTGAATGATTGGAACTTGCCTTGAGTTTGTTTGAAAGGAATCGATTAGAGTTTGAAATTGCGAAAGTGATTGAGGCGTTTTGTTTGATTAGCTCTCTTTAGCCTTGTTCTTTGAACCTAAACGCTTTTATCCCTAGTAGTCTGTTTGAGCCTTGAGCCTTTTCTTGTCAGCCATGCATATAATGTACTTTGTTGACTGATTTTGTGATGTTTGGTGAAAATGGTGTCATTGTTGAATGAGGTGAATTGGAGTTGGATTTCTATTGCTTAACCTATATTAAAAAAAAAAAGAAAGAAAAACTTGAGAGTTCACAGGACGAATCGAATGGATTCTGCTCCTCTTACTAGTCGATTCATTTTGACAGGCAATGAGCATTGAGAAACTACTGTAGAAAACTTGGATGACCTCCAATGTTCACACCTACAGAATGTTGTCCTTTTAATTCAATCTTGTTGGAAAAAGTTACTCTCCAATAAAAATATTAAAAAAAAAAAAAGAAAAAATCAGGTTCAGTGATGATGTTGCAACTTGTTCTAAGCATCTATGTGTTGTTTGTGGAATGTTTGTTGGGTAGTATGTGTTTCGCCTTGTTTATTCGGGATGAGTAGCGGAATGCTTGAGTATACTCGAGAACCTTGATTGTCTATTTGAGCTTCTTGTCCTTATATATTCATACCTTTACCTAAGCCACATTACAAACCGTGAAGTCCTCTTGATTCGCAAGTTTTGAACTTTGATTATTTTCGAGTAATGTAGACGATTGGAAAGCATATGTTGAACATGAATATTGACCAATCTGAGCGATCCTATCATATATTCATGTAAAAGAATGAGTGAGGCAT